CCCCCGCGAATTGGTCGGAGGGGGGTTTCGCAGCCAATCCGGGCAGCTGTGCTGGCGGTTCACACACGCACACACATGCACACGCACACACTTGCACACACACGCACACCCTTCCTGCAGCCCAAGTGCTAAGCGGCTGCCAGATGTGCCGATTCATTTCCACATCACACCTATTCGCTTCTTCCGGCCAAGCAGGTTATTAAGGCGCCTGAGATTTTAATTTATAGCTGGCTGTGAGTTTTCTGCCTTCTCATTACGTGCGGGGTGGAGAGGAGATGGGTGGTGGTGGGTGGGGGTACTGATGGGGTAGTGATGAGGGGAGGCCGGTTTCTCCCTCCACTGAGACCAGTTTGGTCTCTGGCAAGTCACCCGAGCGAAGCCTCTGCTCTCTGCCTGCGAATGGGGCAAATCGTCCCTCTGTGTCCCCACAGCAAGGGGACAGACTGGTTAGGGGCTTGCTCTGGGCTGTTTTTAGGTACCAGCATTGCTCCACCCCAAGACGTTTGGGGTTTACGTGGCACTTCAACCACATGTACCGTGATAACCAGAGCCGGCATCAAAGCAAACCAGGTGTTTGACCAGGGGATGCTGCCCCCAGCTGTGATCCCCGTGCAAACAGCCCCCAGCAGCTCGGAGAGGTGCTGGACCACGGCCAGGCACTGGCGATGCAGGGCAGGAGGGTCAGACACATCCCTGGTGCAGGGTCTCCCAACACAGCTGCTATTCTGCTATGGTGCTATTTCGAGCACCCTATGGGTGTCCAACGCCCATCCAGCAGCAGAGCCCCAGGTGCATGGGCAAGGCAGGATGTGAACAGGATGGGGGCATGCGCCCACTTTTACAGCTGCAAAGCTCTTGCCGTGTGAGACAGGAATAGACACTGAAAATGTGCAGAAAACCATGAACAATCCCTGCAAAACTCAGTTTCTGAGTGTCCTCCATGAAAACCTCCATGTAGCAGGAGGGCAGGAAGGGGCTAGCTCAATAAAAGCAAAGGAAAGTGTTGAATCGCCGTCTGCAGCTCAAGGAGAAGCTGTTGCTAGACAGAAGTAAAAGCCGTCGCCATCGGCTCCCATTGGCTCAGCCCCACCACAATGACGGGCTTATCAGTTACCTGCTCTCACAGCTGGCTGGAAAAAAACTCATTTGACAATGTTTTCCCTCTGATAAAGAAGCCCATTGCTGGATTCATGGGTTTGGGTTAATCATTATTCAGGGTCGTTGAGACAACAGACGAGTTTTCTGCGTATTCTTCAATTATCATGAAATTCAGCACAAATGATGAGCCGGCCCAGCTCTCCTTCACCCACCTAAAGATGCTGAGCCTCCCAGCACAAGCACCAGTTGGCTGCTCGGGTGATGAACCAGAGAGAAGGTTGGTTGCTCTCAGCCATGGCAACTCCCTGACATATAGGTGAATATTCACAAATGCCTGTGAAAATCCTGATTAGCTACTAAAGGGTTCACTGGGTGCAAACAGGATGAAAGTCACCATTCAGATTTTTCAGAGCAAACATTGCTTCATTGGCAGGGAACGAGTTGCCACCACACTTCATCATCCATGGTGGGGTTTGCTCCTCAGCAAAACTGCCTCAGGGGGCTGGGAGGCTGCAGAGTACAACATCAAGGTTTTTCCAGCCCTTCAAATCTGATGTAAACAGGAATTAAGCCCCTAGATTTGTTTCTTGGCTTCCCCAAGAGTTGGAGATCACAGCACAGAAGCAAAGTTCACAGGACACATGAGCACCAAAGGGCTGCTGGCCTTTGCCTGCATTGCTGCCTTCAAATTTGCCCCCAAAGCAGGGGTGTATTTCAGCAGGGGGGTTAAATCAGTGCAGCGGTGACAGGGTCAAGCTCTCAGACAGCAGCCTGGGACTTTCCCAGCACCTCATGCCACTGTGCAAGCCCGGGGCTGTGCTGCCAGGAGGACAGGAGGGGAAAAAGCTGCCCTGGAACACAGGGGATGAGCGCTTAGGCAAATCTGTCCCTTTGCCTGGAGCCCAGCCCAGGCTTACTTTTGGGAGTGGGACTTCCTGAAGTGTTTGGATGGTCAAGACTTCAGAAATGTGGTGGGTTTCTAACCTTAATTACGCCTTCCCCTCACTGCTGGCTGACGGCAAGGCAGGCTGAGTCACAGGCTGATAGAGCCTCCCGGCCTTCCACCTCCTTTTGTAGCTTTCTCCAGCCTCACCCCAAGTCCCATCTCGAGCCATTATCTGGCTTAGGGTGAGGGGTGGTGAGACAGGGTGGGCTGGGGGGGCAATAAGGGAGGCTCAGGCGGACAAACAAGTTGGGGGCTGTGGGGTGCCCCACGCAAGCTCCTCATGAACCCATGTACTCCTCCGAGGGGATGCAGTTATACGAGCCAGGTTATATGGCCGTGAGTGAAGCATCCCTCCGCTGTGCCCTTCCCCAGGTCTGTGTTCCCCGGAGCAGAAGGCAGCGCTGCTCCATCAGCTTTGGGATGCCATCATCTTCTGAAGATGCGGCGGGCTGAGCTCTGGACACCTTTCCCACATCTGTGCTTCCCTCCTGCCACCTTGGGAGAGGTGGAAATGGCAGAGAGGAGGAAATGGAGAAAAAAATCTGTGCCAGCGATGCTCCTCCTGCATCCCCTGGGTGCCCCCTCTGGGGTTTGTGTCCCTCCTGTACCCCACGGGGTCCTGCTGACATTGCACGGCATCGTGCTGGGGCTCACCTGAGCTGCACCCCAAGGCTTGCATGGAGGCTGGTGTCGGCTGGGTTTTACAGTGTGCTGCAACGGGAGCATGACTGGGACAAACTGGCATGAGCAGAATTTAAGGACCTACTCTGGGGCCATGTTTCCTACCGGGACAGGTGGAGTGTGCCCAGACCGTGAGCTCAGGGCACAGCCCAGGTTATTATTTCTGTTGAAGGAGGGTTGTGCTCAGGTCACCGTGAAGGCAGAGCTGTTTGGAGAAGCTCGATGTGTTTCAAAGCATTTCCGAGCTGTCCCCGGCTTCCTCTGCTGGGCAGGGAGGAGTTAAGATGGGAAGTACAAGATGCATCTTGTAATGGTACCGATGTGTGCGTCAAGTGTGTCTGCGTCACCCGGCTCCTTGGCCGCTTCCCAAGGCTGGGGCTGAGCTCTCCTTCCCTCCCTCTGGCCACTGGGACCTGTCTGGCCTGGCCCTGGGGGACATGGGCTCCAATTCAGTGCTGGCTGCTGTACCCCCACCATGCTGTGGCTGGGCTCCCAAAAGCCCCTCCAGGGGTGCTGACAGCCCTCCAGCCCCCTCCCATCTCACAGCCAGGGCAGTGGGACTGGGGCACCCCTTGTGCTAAAGGGGTGGCCTGAGCCTTGAGGCACCTGGCAAAAAAATTCTGATTTTCCATAACCTTGGCTGTTCAGCTCCCTGGGGAAGTGTGCGACTCCCCCATATCCAGCCCCAAACCCCACTCCAGTGCTCACACCCCCAGCTGGGGTCTGTCTGTGCAGTCACAGGTACCCACACACGTTACCCACGGAGCAGGTGAGCATTGCCCAGCTGTTGGAGCACGACTCAGTGGGGCACTTTGTCTTGCAATGGGTTTTTTTTCCAAGCAGCTCCATCTCCTGCTCCTCCTGCCTTCACAGGGATGTCCCTGGAGCAGCCCAGACCCCAAGGAACTGCTCACTCCAGCCATCCTCAGGCCACTCAAAGCACCTTTTGTGGTCGCAGGTGGGTTTTACACACTAGGGCACAGCACAGGACACAGGAGCACATGCCCACCCCTTGCTGACTCCATCCCTGCCCTCTCCCTCTTGGAGAGCTGCCACATCAGATCATGCAACACACACACACAAGGGTTTTGCAAGAAGTTTTTAATTCAGAATTGGACAAGTGTGCAAGTAGTCTATTTAAACCGACGTGCATCCTACGCTCTTGTCCAGGCTGGAAATTGATTAGACTCAGACTTTCTTTTCAGGCTTCACCATGCAAAGAAAGTGAGGACAAAACTGGTTTAACTGGCCCTGGATGGTTTGCAGCCCTTGGGCATCAGCAAGACACCTCGGTCCTCCCACAGGAACACTTGTACCCACCCACCATGGGGGTATCTCCTTCTCAGAGGGCGTGGGAGGTGCCCCGGCAGCCCCAGCCCACCACCGCAGCCATTGCACGCCCACGCGGGGCTCTGCCAGGCTGGCACCCGGACCCTGCTCGTCCCCAAGCACCACGTGACACAAACATGGTGCAGTCTCAGCACTTATTTCCGTGTGACAGCAAGAGGCTGTAGACAGCATTTTTGGGAGATCACCAGGGTCCAAGTGCCAGCATTTCTCTGTCTCCGAGCAGGGCTAGGGGTGTCCAACCCCTCTGCGCAGCCACCTGCCATGGGGCCAGGTGCCGGGTGGAGCATGTGGGGCGCAAGCCCTGGGGAAGGAGGCTGGCAGATGCCTCTACCTGAAGGCATGAGGATGGCCCAAAACACATGGAGCAGATGCCGTCCCCCATCACAGGCTGCTTGCCATCAGGTCCGTGGGCCAGTATTGGTCATC